GAAAAATGAACCATAATGTAAGATATTAATAATAGGGGAAATTGGGTGTAGAATATACTAGAACTATTTGAAGTATCTGTGTAATAATTCTGTAAATTCAAAACTGTTCTATTTTTTTTTTTATCCTCACCCGAGGACATTTTTTCCATTTTTTGTACAGATAGAGTGGGAGGGAGAGAGAGGAAGGGAGAGAGAGAGAGAAACATCGACGTGAAGGGACACATCGAGTGGCTGCCACCCGCACGACCAACCAGGGCCGGGGACAAACTGCAACCGAGGTATGCGCCCTTAGTGGAAACCGAACCCGGGTCTCTCCGGACCGCAGGCCGACGCTCTAACCGCTGAGCCAAACTGGCCAGGGCTCAAAACTGTTCTAAAATAAACATTTTATTAAACATTTTAAAACTGGCATCTTGCATTAAAAAAATTTTTTTTCTTTATTGATTTTTTTTTTTTATCCTCACCCGAGGACATTTTTCCATTTTTTATTCAGATAGAGAGGGAAGGAGAGAGAGAAACATTGATGTGAAAGGGACGCATCGAGTGGCCGCCACCCACATGACCCAACCAGGGCTGGGGACAAACTGCAGCCAAGGTACATGTCCTTAGCGGGAACCGAAACCAGGTCTCTGTGGACTGCAGGCTGACGCTCTAACTGCTGAGCCAAACCGGCCAGGGTTTTATTGATTTTTTTTTTTTGAAAGATAGAGGAAGGAAGAGGGGGAGAGAGAGAGAAACACTGATGAGAAAGAACATTGACTGGCTGCCTCCTGGCCCACAACCTGGGCATGTGCCTGGACCAGGAATCGAACTGAAGACCTCCTGGTGCACGGGTTGACTCTCAACCACCAGCTGCGCGCATCTTGTATTTTCTTTTTTTAATCCTCACCCAAGGATATTTTTCTATTTATCTTCAGATAGAGTGGGAGGGAGGGAGGAAGGGACAGGTGGGGGGAGAGAGAGAGAGAGAGAGAGAAACATCCACGTGAGAGGGACACATCGACAGGTTGCCTCCCACACGACCCGGACCAGGGCCAGGGACCGAACTGCAACTGAGGTACGTGCCCTTGACTGGAATCGAACCTGCAACCCTTTGGTTCGACAGCCGACGCTCTAACTGCTGAGCCAAACCGGCCAGGGCACATCTTGTGTTTGTTAGATACACTTTCACTTCCAAATAATAATTAAACATAACATATAAAAAATTATCCTGGCCCTGGCTGGTTTGGCTCAGCGGTTGGAGTGTCGGCCTGCGGACCGAGAGTCCCGGGTTCGGTTCCTGGTAGAGGCACATACCAAAAAAAAAAAAAAAAAAATCTTAATTTGATAGGGTAAGGGATTTGAGTTGTGTATGATTTCTCCTAAATATTTGATCCAAAACATTTTATTTATATTTTAAAATATAATATTTATTGAAGTAAATCATACATAGAGAAGAGTGCACTAAACATAAGTGTGCAACTAGATGAATTTTCACAAAGTAATCACACCGGTGTATGTAACCAGAACCCAGATCGGGAAAAGTACATGACCAGCAGCCCAGAAGCAACTTTATGGCCCTTTCCACTCCTATTCTCCATTAAAGGTAACCATTATCATGACTTCTAACACCACAGATTAAATTGCCCGTGTACCTAATATAAATGAAATCGTAAAATATATACTGCCAAACACTTTATTTTCTATAAACAGTTTATTTGTTTTCTTTTTTGGCAAGATTCAAACCACCAAATAATTATCAGACAGGGGATGTGCTTCAACATGAAAATGCTTTGCCTCTAAGTGACATAGCCCATTACTAGTTACAATCACTTTCAGGAGCTAAAAAAGAACTGGCTTAAGTCTCACCCCTACCTCCCCTCACCCCAAATGAACCATCAAAAAAAATTCATCTTAATTTGGGTTGTGCCTATCTCAAGAGATTTAAAAAAATACAGTTATGGGAAAATCAGCAAGGTTAAGGCCCTGCAAGTAATCACTTTTCTGGGGTGACTGCTAATTTATGCTGCCTGAATGGAAAACAGTGCTGATTATTTTATTCTTGCTGCTCCTTTGGGAAAGAACAACCGGTGTATTATGGAAGAAGACCTTAGAGTTTGGAATAAAAATAGAACTGTATATTACAACAGTTTTATTTGAAGGAGAGCTTAGAAAAAAAATCTCATCAAAAAAAGGAAGATGGGGATTTTAAGAATAAGAGTGAATTTTAGAGTATTTGCCGTTTCCAGATAGAAACCAACCAAACGTATTTGGTCGACTTTATTTAAAATCTGCTTTGATGCTTAACAGAATTATGACGTTAGATCCTTATTGTTTAATACTTAATTGTTGATAACATGGTAGGCGTTAAAAAGAAAATAAACCTGTTTTCAAATGGTGGTAGAAATGACTTATCAGAGGTTTATACGGGTATACGGGTCCCCTCAATCTCTTAACTATTGATTTCTACTCTAAGTGAACAGGTCCTAAAACTAACATGTATTTGTGCCACAAAAGGTTTACATACGTTATAAATTTCACTTTGTAAACTTGCAGAGCATATACTATGTGCAAAAATTACGCTGAACAACTGGTGTGGACAGAGCTAAGAAATGGTTCTTAAGCTGTGTTTCTACTTGTGCTACTCAAAGGTTTTCTACTTTTACAGCGGGAGGGGGTCAGGTTAAGTGAGATGTTTGTTTACTTTTATCTCAGAGTCCTTAGTCTCATGAAAAAACAGCAGGCAAAAGCTTGTTTAAACACACAATACTGCCACGGATTTGGGTTCGTTCTAAAGCAGGGCGATGGGTTCTTTAAGCCAGTGGTTTACACAGAAGGGCTAGGTCGGTCGATGGGGCAGAAGAAGGGGTTCGTGCTTTCAAAGTGGACTCCGTTCCAGTAGGAGCGCCTCTGGAAGGCCCGGCCGCCCGCCTTCGTCCGACTCCCAGGCCCAGAGGCCGTGGGAAGAGCCGGCTCCGACAGGCGGGAGAGGGCGTGGGGGCCGAGCCCACGGCTTCCGGACCGCCTGCCGGGGCCTTAGAGACCTCGGGCCGCGGCCCTAACCTAGCAAACGCCGCGGAACGCCTGCTGGGCGTGCAGTCGCGTCGGCGGCTGCCTGCCTGCCCGCTCGGCTCGGCGAGCGAGCCGCGGCAGCGCCCTTTCGGTGAACAAGCAGCCCTGTTCCGGGATAAAGGCCGCGAGGGCGGGACTTGTGCTGTGAGGGCTATTTCCTCACAGCGTGCTCAGTCAGGGTGAGGCGAGGCCGCGTTGCAGCCGGGGCGGAACGCCACATGGCGCGACCTGGTCAGGCCTGAGCTTTGGCGGGCACAGAGGAAGCAGTGTAGTGCGGAAAGCCTACAGCCCATACCAGGGTCAACCGACCGAGGTTCCACCACATCCCACACACCTCAGAGAAGGAATTTGAGAGCGCATGGGGGAGGGGGCGGAGAGAGCAGGCGGCTCTCATAGAGCATGCTCTGTTCTAAGAGCCATAAGCGGAGAGCCAGACATGCGCAGTGAGCCTAGGGTGGGTTGGCATTGCAGGGGGGGCGTGAGCGGGCTGATGTGTTTATCCGGTTTTCTGGGTGGGCGGTCAAAGCGCACGCGTTAAGGGCGAAAGGCGGCGGAGCTGGGTAGTGGAATGCGCATGCGCGGAGCGAGCCGGTAGCACTGGGAGGGTGTGGAGGGGGCTATTGGAGGAGAAGCAGGAGAAAAGGGAAGCGAAGGGAAAGGAAAGGGCGGGGGGAGGGGTGAGTGTGCTCTGCGCATGCGTGCGAGCGCCAGCGACGACGGCGGCGGGGGAGTCTCGGGGATGACAGTGGCTTTGCCCGTTGGGGTAACGGTCGTCGTCTCCAGCAGGGCTTGAGGCACCGCACAGCCCGCGGGATCCACTAAGGCCGCAGCAACCCGGGCCCTACCGAGCTAGAGTGGCGCGTGGAGTCGGGGTGAGGGCGGCGAGGCGCGGGGGGAGGGGCCTGCGGCGGGGCCTGCTGTGTGCGCTGGGCGGCGGCGGGGCCTGGCCGTGTGAGCGCTCGCCTCAGCCGTGGCCCGGCGGGCTCCGTGGGCGGCGGCGGCCGTCGTGCTTAGCGGAGGCGGTGTCCGTGTGTGCTGCGCGGAGAAGATGGCCGGGCAGTGAGGGGCGGCGCTTGCGTCTGGTGACCTCGGAGAGAGCGCCTTGAGCGAGGGGCGCCGCCGCGGCCCGGCCGGGCCTGCTCCCCGCCGCCGCTCCGCCGCCGCCGGCCCACGCTCTTCCTCCGTGGCCCTCCGCTATCGGGTGCGGGACGGACTTTTCTGCTTCAGCACCTCAGGGAACAGCGGGGCTGTAACCGCCGGGGCGGAGAGCCAGGCACAGTCCGGGCCCCGCGTCCGATATGGAGAGCGCGGCGGCGGCCTCGGCCAGCCGCAAGAGCAACATTCGTAGCCGCCGCGGCTTCCTGCACTAGATCGAGGACGCTGACGCCGGAGCTATCGTCCTTGCTGTCGCCGCTGCCTCCGTGCCGGGCGCTGTGATGGAGTAGGGGCCCTGCGGCTGGTGAGAAGCGTGCCCGCCCCTTGGACCGGGCCGGGGCCTGCTCCCGCCCAGCTCGACCTAAGGCGATACCTCCGCGACCGGAGATGCAGCTCGTGCGAAAGCCGCCCGCCGAGCCGCGGGGCTAGACTGAACTCCGAGTCGCGGCCCCAGCGCCGAAGTCGTCACGTTCTGCGCCCCGCGGCCGCCCCGGACAAACTCGAACGCTGGTTTCTCTACCCCCCCCCCCCTTTTTTTTTTCTGGTCTGCAAGTCTCAGGGACGGAGGAGGGGCGCCAAGGCCCCATGTGTGGGAGGATTGCTTCAGCCTCACAAACTTGCACGGATTTTGGTTACTACTTTGGCCAGTGGTTCTGCTCTGATTTCCTTCGAATCGTTGCAAATACGCCATTGTTCCCTGGTTGCTCACAAAGTTGGATCCGGAATTTTTTTTCATCCGGGAGCCAACGGTGTCGAAGTGTCTGCAATGAACCCCGTGAATGCTACTGCTCTCTACATTTCCGCGAGCCGCCTAGTGCTCAACTACGACCCCGGAGACCCCAAGGCGTTTACCGAGATTAACAGGCTCTTGCCTTACTTCCGACAGTCCCTCTCGTGCTGTGTTTGCGGTGAGACGCTTTTTATTGTTCCCTTTTTAGGCTTGTTTTAAAAGAAACCTGGGCAATGGCAACAGAAACGGTTCGACGACGTGGTAGATTGTATTAAGCTTTGGTTATTTGTGCAGTAGTGTACGGTCATTAGTTTTGAAACTCGCCGAAGGACTTTTGTCTGGCATTTCAGAAAGACAGAACCCTTCTAAACCACTTTGTACAGCTGTCTGAACGTCACAACTGTTTAATTTGCCTTAGGTCAGTCAGTTCCTTCGGATTTCTGAGGATGATTTTTTAAAATGACGTGAAATATGCATGCATCCTGCTGTTTTTTTAACCTTCACTGTAAGAGTTGATCTAATACCTGCCTGGTGAAATCTGGTTAAAACATGTACATGTGGCGTGTTTGCATTTCCCCAAACCGGTGTTATGTGTGGGTGCTGGTGTAATGTGATGTGCCCACGGCTAGAGAACTCGGTGCGGAACTTTCCCCCAGGTTCTTCCACAAATGCTGTGACAGTTGTGCGGTAAACAGTGAGCCAAGGAATACTTGATAGGGCATTAAGTTCTTTTTAGCTAGTGGGATTTTTACAGGATTACGTTTCTTATTTAATGGCTTTAAAATATTGTGGCCTGGTAGAGGGTTATTTTAGGTATTTTTGTTAAATATATTAATTTGTGCTGGGGAGGATATTTTCTAGTTATTTTTGAGAGATGATGACATGCTAAATTTGTCTAATCCAAGTGTCTCAAAAAGTGATAGTTTGGATTAACTGTGCACATGTAATAGTTATTAAAAATTACATGAAAATGTTAATAAAAAGGAAAGGGCACCTGGCCAAAAAGAGCAGTAATATACTTTGTTTCATATTCTTATTTCGCCAAAAATTTTGAGGTTTTGTTGATCTGTTCACTTTAGTCAGAACCTGAGAAATTTAGGCATTTCAGGCATTCACTTTGTCTTAAATTAGATCAAAAGGAGTAATTTTGTGACTGTATTCATCTGAGATCCATCCAACATTTTCTGTATAGCCCTGGGGTAAGGCACTGAAGGCATGCAGAAGAGGTGAAGATTGTGTTTTTTTGCACACCAGGTACTTAATCTCATAAAAATTTAAGTAACTGTGTTAGAAGGTGATTAACTTCTACCGTGACTGGTGACACTTAACACCTTTATAGAGAAGCACTTGTCTTGGGCAAATCACTTAACTACCCTGGGCCTCAGTTTCTTAATATAAAAAATGAGAATTTGTGGCTAGATTCAGTTTCCGTCCAGCTTAAATTTTACTAATGTAAGCTTAAGAATTTGGTTGGTTTCAAGGTACCCTTTTATCCCACTCCACTTTTTATAGAGTGCTTTTAAAAAAAATCTTAACAGCTTTTGATAGTTTGTGGACTGAGGAAATGGAGCTGCTATATCTTTCTTCTCCACAAATCTTTCTTTTTTTGGGGGGGGGTGGCTGCTGTGGTGATGATGGTAGGAATGATGTAGGGGAAAGAGAGATATTGGGCAGCTCACCCTACCCTGCTAGATAGAACAGCAGAGTGATGTCATTATCCAGGTAACACTTGAAGATCTGGTAAATCTCCTTTATACTAGGTGGATGGGATTTAGCCCTCTAAGAGGGGAAATGGTAGTTTGGAGTTGTGTAGATACTTGGAATTTTAAGTTCTTATCAGTAGCTTCAGGGTAGTTGTGGTCTAATTGAACATTTCCCCCTGATTCGAACCTGGATTTAAAAAAATGACATTAAAGATAAAACTACATTAAGAAGTCTCTAAGTGTAGCTGTCTTTCTTTAAAATTAGTCTTGGCAACACAAGGCAAATTTTTCTGATAGTAGAGCTTTGTAATTATTCCTTCTTGTTCAGCTTCCCTCCCCCACCATCCTATGGAAAAGATTTGTGGATTCTACTTCTCTCTTATTACCAAGTAGTTGGCATAAAATTTCAGCAATCTGGATGTAGTGTTTATCAACAGATAGGGGGAAAATCAGTTATTTGAATCCAGATCCTGCATTTAATCAACTTTGTATCAGGTGCTGCTACCCTAGACTCTCTTTCTTAGTTGAAAAACATAATAAACTCATTCATATTACGAAGATATGTGCAATCTTCTTTCATGAAGATAATATGTAAAAGTAAAGTTTAGTTCTGTCTTGGTGCTGTAAATAGGGAGTTTGTTTCAACAGGACCTCCAACATCAGATCCCAGTTCTACCTTTTTTAGCCTGCATTCAATTGCTCTCTTACATAATTGCTCTGCTTCAGCCAGGTTGATGTTTTTGCCTTTTCAAACATACATACATGCCTTGTGTTTTCCTCCTCTTTTCCCAGTAAAAAGTTCACTTTGTCCTTTGAACCTCTATAACCAACCCTTTGTTCCAGTCATAGGCACTTAAAACTCTTTCAGTGCAGCTTCTTTTGTTGTTTTATTTTTTGGTCAGTGCAGATTTTAGATCTAATTCTTCAGATACCTCAGGGAAAATACTATTTTTTTGCACATTTTTGTGTTCCTCTTGCCTTATTCTTTCTCTCCTATCCAGTGACTTGCATGTAGATGTTTATGAGACTCAGGAAGAAAGTGAGAGGAGGTGAGGGAGGGAAAGTAAAAGACTTAAAACTTTGCAGTTAGGTTCAAATCTTGGTTTTTCTACCTTTGTGAAGACAAGTTGCTTTAACTTTTTGCCTCAACTTCCTTTATTTACAAAAGGGGGATGATTTATATCTTCATGTTTGTTTCTCCACATTTATGTTATATTTGGGTTTATTTTTAAGTAGGGAAAAAACCTTTTGAACCCATGAGAATAAATCTGTTGACTTGGTGTCTGGCTCATATAATGTGCTTAGCATCCCACTCTTGTGTAGAAGTAGAGAGAGGGAGGAGGAGGTGAGAGAAGAGAATGAACTGTCAGGCCAATTACAGTCAAACTTAGATTGTTCCCTGGAACTACAGGTTTTGTTATCGTTGTTCTTTGAAATGTTAATTAGCTGATTATCACTATTTGTTTTTCAGTTGCTTGTATATTTAAACCTTCTGAAGCTTCTAGTGAATGGGATAGGAATGCTCCAGAGAATTACTGTACTTTCTAGGCCACAGAAACAGAAATTACTGTGGATACTACATTTTGTGTCAGTTTTTTCCCCTTACTCTAAATATTGGGACATGCTTTATCACTTACCAGAAAGTATAATTTCTTTTTTTTAATGGCATGAGACTTGATAAATTCTGTCTTAGGCATTTAAACTTGTAAGTCCTCAAATAATGTAACAAGTTTGATAATGTAGAATCAAATCCTGTTAGAGTTGGAAGGATGTGTTGCGTGGAAAGCTTTTACTCTCTGAGATATCTAGAATCCTGTAAACTAATCAAGATCAAATGTCTACTCAGGCACATGAATATTTTTCTGGTTTTTAATTTTTTAAATTGATTTTAGAGAGGAGGGAGGAAGTGTGTGTGTGTGGGGGGGGGCGGGAGTGAGAAACATCAGTGTGAGAGGAATACATTGGTTGCCTCCCATATGCTCCCTGATCCAGGATTGAGCCACCTAGGTATGTGCCCTGACCTTCCTTCCAGTGCACAGACAGTACTCCAACAAACTGAGCCATGCTAGGGGATCCTGGTGTTTTTATTAGAGTTTAGAAACAAAGTGGTGTTGGCTTTGTATTTACTTAATATTTTTGAACTTTCTGCACATTCAGTTTCTCATTTATAAAATGAGAAGGGGGCTGGAGATTAGTATTTCCCATTGACTTAGGGTGATATAGGCTGAACAAGTTTTTGTTTTGAATGTAAAGGACTCAAAGACAAAAAATCCTATCTTTTCTTGCTACTGCTACTCTTACCTTCCACCATAAGGTAGTTGGTTGGTTCTCTAAGGATGAGAGCTTTGCTTGTTTTGTACACCATTGTAGAGCTGCACCTGCCAGATATTTTTTCCATTTATCTTTAGAGTGGAGAGGAGGGAGGGAGGGAGGGAGGGAGGGGGAGAGAGAAACATCGATGTGAGAGATACATCAACTGACCTTGACCAGGGCTGGGTATGAACTGCAACTGAGGTACATGCCCTTGTCCAGAATTGAACCCACAGCTCTTTGGTCCATGGGCCAATGCTCTAACCACTGAGCAAAACCGGCCAGGGTGCCCTGGCCTGTTTGGCTCAGCAATTGGAGCGTCGGCCACATTGTCTGGATGTATTTTCTGCTTTAAAAAAATAATTTTGGCCCTGGCCAGTTTGGCTCAGCGGTTGGAGCATCGGCCTGCAGACCAGAGAGTCCTGGGTTTGGTTCCCGCTTGGGGCACGTACCAAAACAATAAATAAAAACCAGTAAAGAAAAAAAAAATTGAAACAAACAAACCCAAGTCTTTAAAAAAAAATTTTTTTTTTTTTATCCTCACCCGAGGATATTTTTCCATTTTTTGTACAGATAGAGTGGGAGGGAGAGAGAGAGAGAAACATCGACATGAAGGGACACATCGAGTGGCTGCCACCTGCACGACCAGCCAGGGCCGGGGACAAACTGCAACCGAAGTACGTGCCCTTAGTGGGAACCGAACCCAGGTCTCTCCGGACCGCAGGCCGACACTCTAACCGCTGAGCCAAACTGGCCAGGGCTAAAAATTTTTTTAATAAATAAATAAATATGCCCTGGCAGGTTTGGCTCAGCACTTAGAGCGTCGGCCTGCAGACCAGAGAGTCCTGGGTTCAGTTCCCGCTAGGAGCACGTACCAAAAAAAACCAAAAAAAACCCCAGCCAGGGCACATATTTTCTGTTTTATTTATTTATTTTTTTACACACACACACGTGTGTGTGTGTGTGTTTTTAATCCTCTTCTGAGGCATTTTTCCATTTTTTGTTCAGATAGAGTGGGAGGGAAAGAGGAAGAGAGAGAGAGAGAAACATTGACATGAAAGGTACACGCCAAGGGGCCGCCTCCTACACCACCCAACCAGGGCCAGGAACAAACTGCAACCAAGGCATGTGCCCTTAGCGGGAACCGAACACGGGTCTCTCCGGACTGCAGGCCGACGCTCTAACTGCTGAGCCAAACCTGCCAGGGCATATTTATTTATTTATTAAAAATTTTTTTTTAAAAGACTTGGGTTTGTTTGTTTTAATTTTTTTTTTCTTTATTGGTTTTTAGAGAGAGAGGAAGGGAGAGGGAGAGAGAGGGAAACATCGATGAGATGGAACAATTGGCTGCCTCCTTTATGTCCCCCACTGGGGATTTGGCCCACAATCTGGGCATGTGCCCTGACTGGGAATTGAGCCGGTGACCTCTTGGTGCGTGGGTTGACGCTCAACCACTGAGCCACATTGTCTGGACGCATTTTCTGCTTTAAAAAAATAATTTTGGCCCTGGCCAGTTTGGCTCAGCGGTTGGAGCATCGGCCTGCAGACCAGAGAGTCCTGGGTTTGGTTCCTGTTAGGGGCACATACCAAAACAATAAATAAATAAAATAAAATAAAAAAACAATTTTGGTAGTAGCCATTCTAATGAATGTGAGGTGATATCTCATTGTGACTTTGATTTGCATTTCTGTAATGATTGGTGACATCATATGCTTATTGACCATTTGTATATCATCTTTGAAGAATCACTATCATTTTTTTAATCCTCACCTGAGGATATGCTTGCTTACTGATTTGAGAGAGAGAGAGAGAGAAACATAGAGAAACATCGATGTGAGAGAATATTGATCACTTGCTTTCTGCACGTTCTCTGACCAGGGATCGAACCTGAAACCTTTCAGTAGGTGGGATGACACTTCTACCAACTGAGCCACACACCGGCCCCAGGCAAATCACTACCATTTTTTATCTTGAAAATTTATTTCACTCATTATACCTTTATTAATCCCCATGATGTTATAAATGTTGGGATAAAAAATAAGACACATGGTCTTTACCCATATGTTGCTTAGGGTTATGAGGAAGACAGATAAACAGATAAGCAATTATTAGAGGTACTTAATGTTATACCAAATCCCAAGCATCATAATAGAATTATTTATAAGTTAACTTTATTGCATATGTAAAATTTTAGAAATTAGCCATAAATGAGTATTTCCCTTCATATGATTTGTTTTTTGA